CTAGGTACCATATCAAAGGAAATGTATACTCGAATCCCCGGCATAACGAGTATAGATTGGCCCCTGGTCCTTCTAGGTACACTCACGAGATGAGTCAGCAAATGTACAACTACGTAAAACCTAGCACGCACTATCCTCAAAACAACCTAAAAACAGGGTACTATGGCCGTGTAAATTACAATGTGAACAGTGAAACAGACTATTTTATGCAGAGAAATGATCCTAGATACCCACGTAATGAGGCCAGAAAACATTATATGCAACAGGATTATTTTCGGTTGCAGCAAACAATAGCCCCTCTCGCAGCACAGTTTGTCCAGGGAATAGTAAACACGCTGACAGTGTCTCATAAGAGGATCCCTCCGAACATAACATAGGCAACCAGGAGTTAGGGATAGTAAAAAAGAAAACCTACTATCTCAACAACCCTGGTTTTCTGAAAATTATGCTTTTAAATGCTCGATCTCTCCTTAACAAAATAACTTCCCTTTGCAGCTTGGTATACATGGAGCAGCCAACACTGATTCTGGTAGCTGAAACTTGGCTTACTACTGATATACCTGACACAAAGCTGATAATTGATAACTATAACATCCACAGAAATGACAGAGTGGACAAGAGAGGAGGCGTCTGTCTAATATATGCCTCTAAATCCACTGACTCCAATACCTTTACAAACCTAACTATCGACAAACTCCCAGAATCCAAGTGGATAAGCATCCACGCGAATGAAAATAACATTCTTGTGGGATGTATATACAGAGCCCCTAACAGCCCTATAACGACTGATACGGTTATCGGAGAAATACTAGAGGTTGTACCTAAGCTGGAATTCGACTACAAACTAGTTTGTGGCGATTTCAACCTCCCTGGAGTGAACTGGGATACCTGCACTGGACCGGGAACCTACGAGGTGATCCTAGAAGCCATAGATGTAGGAGGATGGAAGCAGTGCGTACGCCTCCCAACATGACACAACAATATTCTCGACTTAATCCTCTGTCACAAAATAGAGCCGATCGCGATAGAGGTGGGGATAAACTCGACAACAGTGACCACAACATACTGTACTGCATCCTACCCTTACAACTAACAGCTAAACACACACCTAAGAGTTCCCGGGTTTACTATCAATATAGGGACTATCGAAATGTTGACTGGGAATTCCTACCAACGCTCTTGAGAAGCTCAGACTGGGGTGAATACTTCACCAATAATAACTTAAAAGTAATACTAAATACCTTCTACAAGACAATCAGTTCGGTAAGAGACACAATCGCACCCCTGAAATCTGCCCTAAAGACACCAACTCTATTCATAGACCGCAAAACGCGAATAAAACTAAGGAAACTAAAAAGGAAATTTTATTTATACAAAGAATTTAGTGCATTACACCAGATACACGAAACATTTGAAAATTTAGATGAGAGGCATAAAATGAAGGCACAAGTCGAGGAAAATAAAGCCCTAGAGGGCACCTCTAAAACAGAGGAACTCTGCAAGATCTTGCAAAAACGGCTGAAGAAGGGTGAAGACAACAATATCAGTCATTTATAACATGAAGGTATAATTTATGATGATCCCCAGATCATTAGTGAACTCCTGAGTGAGTGGTTCTCCAATAACACCAAAGCGCATCCGTCCCCAATTCTTGACGTAACCTGCAAAAATAACTACAAGTTAGGTGAAATAAACTTTAATATACAAAATATAGCATCGGCGGTAAGGACATTAAAAGCTAACAGTAGTTGTGGGATAGGCGATATGCCATCCATCATATACAAAAACGGTGGTACGGATATGATAGTATTATTACTTAGGATATTTAATATCTCACTAGAGACTGGAACCTACCCTGAAACTTGGAAAACACATATATATTACCTAAGCATAAAGGAGGGTCCAAAACTAGTGCATGTAATTATAGGCCTATCAATATAACACCTGTCATATCAAGGATCATGGAGAAAGTAATCAAAGACCAAATGTCAGACTACTTTCTAAAACATAAACTCATCAACCTATCACAACCCGGATTCCTCAAGAAAAGATCTTGCGTCACTTGCCATATAGACTTTTTCAACGAAGTCACCTATAGAATAAATAGGAGAGAACTAGTAATTATCCTCTATTTCAATATGAGGAAAGCCTTCGACAGAGTCCTACATAGTCTGCTAGTCGGTAAGCTATGCTCACTAGGGATACGCAACCCCCTCTACAATTGGATAAAATCATTTCCGTATGACAGGAATCAGACAACTAAAGTTGGCTCAATAACCTCCAGACCTAGACCAATCAGCATTGGTGTCATCCAGGGGAGTGTATTGGGACTCCTTCTTTTCATTATATACATAAACAGTATATGTGAATGCTTTCGTATAGGCAAGTCAATACTGTATGCAGATGACTTGAAGGTGACATATACCTGCACAAATACAGATATCGGAACAACTATGAACTCTAAACATGAAGAATTAATAAAAATGGATAGATGGTGTGACACCTGGAGACTCGAGTTTAATGTTGAAAAGTGTGGATAGCTCTGCATAGGCTGTTCCAACCTTGAACTCGACCTAGCAATTCAGGGCCACAAAATCCCCAGACTCAAATCTGTACTAGACCTAGGACTGAAAAATTCACACAATCTATCATTTTCAGAGCATATCTCGAATCAAGTATCGAAATCACGCAGGCTTATTGGTTTCCTACTCAGGAACTTCTACAGAAACGAATCCAGAATACTACTGTACAAGGTTTGTGTGCGCCCACTCCTAGATTACTGCTCATTCATATTCAGCAGTACACGCATAGAAGACAAACTGAAAGTAGAAGGAGTACAGAGGTACTTCACGCGAAAAGTACTCGGAACCGATAACGGCACAAACTACTCTACCAGATGTGAAATCCTAGGATTAGAAACATTATGGTTAAGGCGAATGCGACTAAATCTGGTACTCTTCTATAAGCTTCTTAACCAAATAGTGTATACCCCTGCTAACTATACTCAGTTCTCAGGAGACACAGGATACAACCTTAGACACACTAAAGGTACAGTGGCTATAGAACCATGTAAAACAGCCACCAGGCAAAAGATTTTCTTGATTAGGTATGCCTAAATATGGAACAAACTACCTGAGAAAATGAGACTAGCAAGCACATTGGCCTCCTTTGAAAAGGCACTTAATGACACACTAAGTGAGTTTGTAATTGATACCAGTGCTAAATCCCATGTAAGAGTTTCAGAAATCATAGGCCCATTTAATGTATGAACTCAGAGACTACACCCGTTGTTTGTTTTGCCTCTATTTATAATTCCAGACAAAAAAAACAGCAGTCATGACAATAACACCCATTCAATTAGGAGTCGATCGAACTATGTCTACCTGATACAAAGGGCGAACCATAGCAAACATACGAATGAAATATGAGAAGACAAGGTCGAAACTTACCTCAACGCCACATGAAAAGATAAAAGTTACTTGAACATCATTTATAATCCACCGACTAGTCTCCTTCCCAAAAAGAATGCGGCGATGTTTTATCGAAAATAGCGAGGAAATACATAAATCCACAGCTGCTGTTGTAAACACTCAGTGGGGGTAGGAGCCAACAAAGTAATCCATTCAAAGCATATGTATACTTCACATGGACACGGAGACTCGCTGCGGAATACGTCATAATCCAAATCACTGCCTATACAGCGCCAATAAACCTCCTCTAGCTTTGATTTACCAAATAAGGATCGTGCACAGCAACAGACACCTAGTGCTGAAACTAGCATTCAGCAAACTACACAACAACCACACCTGCCAATGGAACTAGGAACTGATTTAGATACCAGTACCCCTGTAAATAAAGCCTCATCGAAAGATGTTAAAATGACTAGAACTTCTGCAAGTTGTTCTAAGAAATTTTCCCCCAAACGTAGTAACCTCACCACGATGAACAAATTTCGCAGGGTTGAGACTAATGATGGGGAAGAATACTTTGTATTCAATAAGCCTGCTGAGAGTAAGAATGCCAACAAACCATCACTTGTTACGAAAAACTCTCGAAACACAAGTATGTCTGGAGGTGTTCCGCATGCTCCACCTTATAGAAAGTCAGGCCCCAAGACCCCTAAAGTCTTGCAGCCAAAGCACCTTCCCTCACAATTCCTTTTAAGTTATAAAAACAACCCGAAGGTGTGTGCCAATATGCCGAATAGCAGTTGGGTTGGTAGACCTTTTGATGCTATGGCTTTTAACCGTCAACCTAGGCCCAACCCCTACTACCCTTATATCCAGGAACACATGGTAAATTTTCCAGGTGTCCCGAATCACTGGTACGACCCATGGCACCTAGAACCACCTCATTGCACACCAACCCCGATGTACAGACACCCAGTCCGACCTCCATTTCATTCATAAACTCTTGCGGTGCTGGCGCACAAATAGATTTAGGTTATGGTGACATTTTAAGCCAGTTTGTAGTATCCCGTGACTTATTCACGATATTGCTAATTAATGCACGTTCCTTAATCAATAAGATATCTGAACTAAGGACATTATTATTAGTCGCCAGGCCTACTGTAGCTCTGATTACTGAGTCATGGTGCTCATCCTCTGTACTAGATGTGCATTTAGGTATCGATGATTACACTGTACACCGTGCAAACAGAGATTGCAAGCGTGGTGGAGGATGTCTCATATATATACATAACTCATTTGTAGTCAGTAAGGTGGAAGATGAAATAATGAATAATGTACCTGACTCACTCTGGGTTGTCTTACATGGAGATAAGTACAAACTTCTCATAGGCTGTGTTTATCGAGCACCAAGCGCAACAAAAGAAACTGATGCGTTATTAGCTAAATCGTTTGCACATGCATCCTCGTTTAGTGCTAATTACAAAATAATTGCAGGGGACTTCAATCTTCCAGAAGTTAATTGGCTAACTAGTTCCAGCCCTCAACGCTTCGACGAATTACTTGCCACTATAGACTGTTATGGATGGCAAAAACACATCTAGACACCTACTCGTGGGGACAACACGTTGGACCTTGTTTTTTGTCATGACACAATCCCAGTATCCACTTATGTTGGTAATAGATTTTCCAGTAGTGACCATAGAATGGTACTCTGCTCTCTGTCTTTCTCACCACTAAATACAGGAAACAAACAAGACTCAGGAAGCACAATATGTCGTAGTTACAAATATACAGACTGGGGATTAGTCCAAGAACTTATTCGACTCTGTCAATGGGATGACTATTTTACCACTGACTCCCTGGAGGCCTTAGTAACCCTGTTTTACAGGAATGTTACCCTTTGTCTAGATACAGTTGCCCCAAAGAAAATAGTGAAATTAAGTAGACACCGAGCTGAATATATTCCAAGGGCACACCGTAATAAGTTAAGGAAGCTGAAGAAACAGTACTATTCCACTAAGGATATATCACTATTGCTCTCAATCCACGAGTCTCTTGAATCTATCAAGCGCCTACGCTCTCAAAAGGACCTCGACGAAGAGTTAACGGCACTTGAAGGTACACCCAAAGTTTATAACTTAACGGCACTTCTTAAAAAACGAATGCAGTTGACAAGGGAAATCCCTTACTTACTTCATGACAAAGTAATCTACAATGAGCCTACCACTATCTGTGAACTCTTCAGTGATTGGTTTGCAAACTTTAGTTTAGAAACACATATGCCTGGTGAAATAGCCCCCGTTACTAGCTCTTCCCTTGAAAGCATTGTGTTCACTAATCAGTTAATAGTACAAGCAATTAAAAGCCTTAAACCTTACACTAGTACGGGACCGGATGGCCTCGCTTCGATAATTTTCAAAAACAGTGGGTGTGATATACCCTTGTTACTTCTTAAATTCTTCTCAATATCTATGGACACTGGCACTTACCCTAGTGAGTGGAAAACTAGCTTCATAATTTCACATTACAAATCTGGTGATAAGGCAAACGTCCGCAATTACAGACCCATAAATATAACCCCAGTTATCTCACGAATCATGGAGAAAGTTGTAAAAGATCAGTTGTCAGACTACCTAATTAGGGAAGATCTTGTTACAAGGTCTCAACACGGATTTCTCAAAAATAGATCCTGCGTTACTTGCCACTTCGACTTTTTCAACTGCATCACTAGTAGTCGCGAAGCACGTAAGCTAGTCGTTGTTCTCTACTTCGATATATCTAGGGCATTTGACATGGTATCTCACAGTATTCTCTTTGAGAAGCTGTACTCTTGTGGAATTCGCAACCCATTACTGAGCTGGTTAAAATCATTTCTTAGCAACAGGGTACAAATAACCAAAGTTGGATCTGTATTGTCTCATCCTAGGCAGATCTCAAGTGGGGTTGTGCAAGGTTATGTCCTAGGTTCACTTTTATTCACAGTCTACATTAACAGCATTTGCAACTGCTTCACCTCAGGTAAACCATTCCTATATGCTGACGACCTCAAAGTCGTCTACTCCTGCTACACTCATGAATTAAGCGATATGGTTACTAAAATACATCTTGAACTAAGTAGTCTCGCAACATGGTGTGCTGAATCCTCTCTAAACTTTAACATTGACAAATGTGGCTGGATTTGTATCGGCAACAGTAAACTTGATCTAACTCTTGAAATAAATGGGCGAAAACTAGCTAAGCTCAACTCAGTTGTAGATCTCGGTATTAGATACTCTAGTAACCTAACGTTCGCTGAACAGACTGATTATGCCAGTCGTAAAACACGAAGGCTGATAGGTTGCATAACACGCAATTTCTTTTATTGTGAAACTAGGGTTTTATTATACAAAGTATGTGTCCGACCTATCTTAGAATACTGCCCGTTTATTCTTAGCGGACTCAGACAAAATGATAAGCTTAAATTAGAGGGAGTGCAACGGCAGTTTACCTCAAGAACTCTTGGTTTAGAAAGTGGTCTGCAATACCATGAGCGATGCGAAAGACTAAGGTTAGAACCCCTCTGGAAAAGACGTCTTAAGTTGAACCTTATCTTTTACTATAAGCTAACTAATCTTCTCTTGCATTCCTCCGAACCAATAACTAAACCTACCGCTGTCATCAGTTACAATCTTAGAAATCATCACAACCTAATTGCTATAGAGCACTGTCAGACTTACGTGCGGTACAACTTCTTCTTAAATAAGTTTTCAGTCATTTGGAATAGACTACCAGCTAATGTGCGCGATGCAAACACACTTCCAGTGTTCATCTCCTCAGTCACCAGACTGCTCAAAGATGACAATGCACTTTTGCGCCTGACTCTTACACCCTCTTTTTCACCCTACATAGATATCTTAAGTTCTTTAAACGTGTAGTTACAACCAACTACAATTATTAATTTTAATATTATTGGAACTAGATGATAAACATTTCTACACAGGACAGTAACATTAGTTCACACATAATTTGAAAGTTAGCATAACGGGACTAGTTAGTTAATGAACAAAAATAAGCATAGCTACTAGACAGAATATATATGTATATATTTATTAATCACTCCTTAAGGACTCCTCTTGCTTTCTTTTGCCTTGCTGTTGTTTGTCTTCTTTTTTCTCTCACCATTTCAGCTTCCATTTGACTTTTTGAATGAGAATGAATAATGTGGATGTTTGACCATTTACAATGACAAATGATCTGCGAACATTATTGATCCCGTATCTTTCAGTTGCCTGGTTAATAACGAATTAACTTTCCCCGCGACGCAACCCGGATTACATTTGTGGAATATACTCTTATACCAATGGAAAGGTATCAATTTGTAATACAACGTCACGATTCGTTCTTATTTCCCAATTTGGATATAAATCAAAAATGAGATTCGGAATTACTTCAAGCTTTATTTTTTCCCAAGTATTTTTAATCCATCTAAAACTTACTTGGGTTTTTTTGTTAATGCGAAGTCAATATTCCTATATTTCATGATGTGCTCCATTGAATGACTGGTTATCATATTGTTCCCACAAACCAAATACAGAAACGTCAGCAACCATGTAAATTAACTATAAACCAAATTTATGAAATTTATACAATGCTTATCCATGCCTGTATATTTGGTGTGTCGTACACAAGTAGCAAAAAATATGTATTTTATTAAAACATTATTATTAATTATGATTGCTAATCGTATATGTAATTTATCATATTGATGATGCCTGTAAACTGGCGTCTCTCATGTACAAAATGAGAATATACTATATCTATGATATAACGAAAACATGCTGAAAGCTGCATCTCAGATCAAGTTGATTCATTCGATCGTAATGATCTGCCCCTGCATGCCTTATTCGACACATTGAATGGAATGGTTCACAGTTATTCTGGCACCAGATCGAAAAGAATAAAAAATTCACCGGTTGCTGAATCGAAAGTGCTTCTCTGCATGTCTAACTGTATTCTAACTGCTATGATTAATTCCAAACCATTTATCTCATAATCACTCAAATTCCAGGAACAATCCAATTCTACCATTTGAAGACGCTGGCGAACATGCTTTAAATGAGTATTCATGGGTGACTCTGAAGAATAGCGGCCCAAACCGAAACGACCTTCGAACAAAAAAGTGACCTTGAGCAAGGAATCAGCTGACTGTAATCATGGATGTTTTCGATTACTGTTTGGATAACGGACTGATAGCTTTGTCGAAAATTTGCCAATGCGGAGGAGTTATGCATATACAAAAATACACAGAGGCCATTGATGGTTTTGTATGCAGATGCATTGAGTGCCGAAGGAGTAAATCGGTTCGAGAAGGTTTGTCGTTGTCTTTTAGTTTACAGATCCCTTAGGAACTTTTCCCTCAAGGTCTAAACTACCTTTGACGAAAATTTTAATGATCTGTAACTTCTGGGTCCTGAAAAGAGCAGTCACAGCTACAGCTTATGAAACAGGAAATTCAGAGGTGTCATCAGTGCAATGGTACAACTACTGCAGAGATGTTTCCTCCTGGTAAATGAACACCCTGACTCAAGTTCTCGGAGGAGTCGGCAGCATAGTCCATATTGATGAGACTGTACTTATAAAAAGGAAATACAACCCCGGGAGATTACAAGCAAACCAGCAGTGGATACTAGGTATCTACGACACGACACTGCGCAAAGTATATATAGAAGCGATTCCCAATCGCAGTGCAGCAGTATTAGTGCCTATCAATAAGAGTTTGGTGTTGCCGGGGACGACTATTCATACAGATGAATGGAGCGGATACCGTCAATTGTCGAATCATGGGTACATTCATCATGTTGTTAATCATACGGACGGTTTCCGGAATCCTTTGGATGAAACCCACACCAGTTTTTGGAGTCGTATAAAAAGACGTATAAGAGCGGTTAATGGATCGAGAAATCCCATGATTTACAGTTACCTGGATGAATTTATGTACCGAAACTGGTTTTATATGACTATGCAGACTCCTATGAGAAACTGGGAGGTTATTTTGCAACATATACATGAACCCTATCCTTTGTCACTGTTTATTATGATTGCATTACTTATATATAAACCGTTTTTTACAATTATGCGCCTTTCTTTTTGAGCCTTCTCATTGGCCGAAGTTGTCCCTGTCAAGGTCATTTTTGCGTTAAAAGGTCGTTTCGGTTTGGGCCGCTATTCTTTAGAGTCACCTATGATCTGAATTGAAGAAGCAACTGGTTTTCAAACAGTTTTTCAACATTCTATTTAACTTACGAGTACAGTCCGCCATGCAGACACAAATGTCGCAAATGGAGAATTCTGGAAATGACCTCGGCACCATTTGATGCAGTAAAACAACTTAGCATGACCTTATCTGGTTTTTGCCTCCACGATCAAATTTCTTTCCTGTTATGAAACTACGATAAGACTGCTGAAAAATGGAATAAATATATCACTGATCTCAACATAATACATCAATAAACTTTAAGCCAGGGGTGCTGTTCACAACAAAGTTATATAGGAGGATTGACTTCAAGCTTTATTTTTCCCAGATATCTGTATTACATTCATCTGATGTCTGGGTTTTTTGTTAATGCGAAGACAATATTTCCATATCTCTTTATGTGCTACACAAACAGACTTTATAGCAGACTGTTCCGACTGACTCTAATGCCAGAAAGAAGAACCAAACTGTAAATCCATTATACATCAAATTATGTGTAATTTATATAATAAATTATACATGCCTGTACAATAGGTATGTTCCCGCATAAACAGGGACAAATATATTATTATTAAAACAATATTTATACATGCTTATACAATTGGTGTATCCTACATAGCTAGGAAAAAAATGTACCTTATTATATTATCTTTACTAAATATGCTTATTAATCTTATGTGTAACTTATCGAATTTATGATGCCTGTAAACTGGCGTCCCTCATGTAAAAAATGAGAACATATATTATTATTATTATTAAGAAGTAATTTCCTCTTTTTTCCACGATGCAATGTCTCTGCAATGCTGATACCACTGAACTGTTGAGGCGAGGCTGTTCTCGGTTTCAGCAGCTGCTGCTCTCACTGGCTGTTTTAAGACCCAGTAGTTGCAAATATACAAAATTTGCGTTAAGACGTGACCTTGCATAGAAAGTTCCTAAGAAATATTATAATTATAAGCTTACCTTATCCAATGCTAACTCGTCTCAAACAAATTGCACAACGATGGGCATATCCTCCAGTTGACCTGCTAAAGCATTTTAAAGTCATCACACATCCACACGAACAAATTCTCTCCTTCCTAAGCAACCCTAAATTCAGGGCATACTGGAAAACACTATCCTCCTTGAATTGCTACCGTAACTTCGTTAGGATACGCATTTGAAATGAATAATGCGCTATACAACATTGAACTCACGTTCATAAATCTCAATGGACAATTTGACGTCGTTCGCTGATTGGTAGTTAGTAGTGCTTAAAGTTTAACTTGGCCGTTTCAAATAGAATCATATTGAAAACAAACAGTTGTAGAACTGCAAGATTATTTTGTTCTATTCAACAAAATGTTTCAGATAAACAAGGTGGATACCCTCAAATATGAGGTGATCCGGCATGTGAATACCGAGAGCGCAACAAGTGAACATAAAGGAGCTCGCAGCTGAGGAAAGTATGCATTTAAAAAAATATGTGCAGCAGTCAAGTGAACGGCAAATGGTTTAATTAGCAGAAAATGCAAAATACCATGTAAGGTTCAACTTTGGTGTTTGAAGGTGCAATATTAGACGTAGGACTCCACCGAAAATATATTTCTTTCCCAAATAGCTAATTGAATAACAATTCAGTAATATAGTAATTCATCAAGGTAAATCATCACACAGCACGCTAGCACTAACTTCACATAAATAAAAGAAATTCACGCCTGACCACCCTCTAATCTGCCCATTTTAGATATCATGGACAGCTAGGTGATAAAACGCCTCTCTATGACAGAAAATTGGCGTATACAAGGGTTGCTTCAAGAGGAGAGTACGAGGGGTGGATCTGCATTACAGTTCTTGAGCTAACTGCAGAAGCTTTTAGTAGGTAGCATGGCGGGAGAGAATTCACTGAGGCAGGGTGGTAGCAAAACCTTTCTTCAACATTCGTTAGCTATGTTGGAGGTTGCCATGACAACATAAACTGACAGTGGGGATCATTTCGAGTCAGCCGTTCAAAGACTTGTCGAACGTTCATGAGTCACACAGGATCTGCTGGACAACATATCACGGTCAAGTCAGTGGGGTGACACAATGCTTTCATCGACAAGTGAAGGCTACATTTACATGCCATTCTAACAAAAATCATTGGACACAATTTCTTCCAATGGTAATATTCAGTATCTAAACAGGAATCTAGAATGATGCTCAATGCTTAGCAGCATAAATGGTATACGGAACCACTTCAAGACTACCCGGCGAATTCATTACTCCTGATGCTGACAACAGCAAAGTTAACCAGGTTACGTATACTGATAGACATGTATTACGAATGGCTAACTTGGGACTGACGTGCTCACATGATCATTCCATAGTGATGTATATACCCAAGGACTGTGAGTCATGCCAGCATGTATAGATGAGACGTTACAAAACAGTGATGTATTCAAGTAACGGTTTGTAGGGATTTGATTGATTGGTTACAGGATTTCATCACAAGCTGACATTGGAGTGTAACAACAGAAGACAAGGGCCAGGCAACAGATCGTTTTATTATGAAAATCAACACGTATTTATACATATTTCACATACATTATTATAGACAAGCGCAGTCATCTGATTGGTTGCTTATCAGAAGTTAGGCAGACAGGCTTCTGATTGGTTGCTTCGGGATTCCTTGACAAATAGAGTTCTCTATCTGCGAATCATATTCTGCCACGTTAACTTTGCTGTGATTGGTTGTTGACTCAGCCTTGTTCATATTTTCTCACGGCCCATATTAACGTAGCTTAGTGTCAACCAATCGGCTAGCAGCCTGCTCTCACCACAGGAGTATCGTTCATTGGAGTCAAAATGCTCAGCACCTCATTAGACTACTGTTTATAAACTAGTAGTTAGAGAAGCAGCCAATCAAATAATCTCCCCTTGAGTAATGCATCCGCACACTGTAATGAGTTAGTGTAAATTCACTTGATCCTGTGGAGTTATTCATATTTGACGCATGAAAGACACGGTTTCTCGGAGCATATCTGAGCATTCTTCAGCACAACGACCTTCAGGACAACTCATAAAAACTACCAGCTCGTCCACATTTAGTGCAATCATATCACTCTTCTCCACCTGAGTCCCCTTTTAAAATCATCTATCTGATGAGACCGAATAATACAAGCGACATTGTATTTTGGCACTTGTGTGTGATGGAGGCTTCACCCATTTTTTCGTCTATTTCGTTGACATCATCGAGTGGTGGGAATCTCTACGATGAACATCCCTGAAAATATAATGCGATATTTAGTTCTAATAAAAATAACTACTCTTATATGGCATTACTCAGTGAAAAAGGGTAGACATTTGATTGACTATAACCCTAACTACTATTTTATAATAAACTGTGTAGTGTAGTAGTAGTCTAGTAATAAATAAATAGTAGTAGTGTAGTGTAATAAATGCTCATTATTTTGAGGCCAATTAACAATACACACTATAGTGTTTCACAGTGATTATAAGCATATGAATAAAACGTTCACATACAACCAGCTGACAACTCTGAAACGTCCCACCTGGATTCTACTAGTGGTCGTCATTTT